ATACTGTGTTTTGCTCCTCCGGCTGAAGTCCAGCTTGTGGTGTTTTCGACAAAAACAACCACCATCCAATTCTCATTAGCACCAGCTCCTGCCCCACCATAACTTGACTCGTTTACGTACTTCTCATACTGACTGCGACTATAATTTGGAAAATTTATAAGTGTCTGCTCATCATTTCCGGGTATGTAAATAGGCAATACGGCAACATCTGTGGTGTGGCTACTACTGCCATAGCAGTGTTTTAATTGTGTAGGGTAGTCGTCTAGTTGAACCACCTCAGATGGATCATCATCAGCATGCAGTACAAGGATTCCATAGCGTGTCAACAATTTCTCTAGCAATGCAGGATGCCTTTTTATTCTTGGCCAGGGCCGGGAGGCCTAAAAGTGATGTCCTGTAAGCATTGATGCTTTCCAGAAGGTCGTCTTCTTCACCTGAAAATTGAACGATATTTCAGCCTGTGGAGTTAACATTGTCCCCTCAGTACTGCATCAAACTTGTTAACAACAGGAAAAAAGAAAGATTCCAGCCCAACAACACAGTGATTTTGGTCAATTTATGACAAAAAACCATCAACAGAGATAGAGAGAGACAAACGGTACCACCACAACGCATTACTGATGCAGAAGAAAGCAAGAACGTGGCATGGAAAAGCAGAAAGAGAGAATATTTTAACTTTGAGAGAGGCCACAGCTTGCAACAATGCCAAGAGGACACCCTTGTGAATCCAAGAACAAAAAATGATTTACTAGAAGAAGAAATAAAGCAAAAATGGTAGTGAACTTCCTACTGTGTAAACTTCTTTTTAGAACCGAATATGCAGTTCTTTTCTTGCCTAGCAAGTTTATAGATATGTGTGCCTTGACTGTTAAGGGAGGTGTCTCTTCTTACTAGATGCCTGACAAACTTGAACTGTAGTCATCAAGATTAGACAACAGTCCATTTGTCTGTGTCAAAAAACTTTCAACAAAAAACAGCATAACCACTGGTTCTTGGTTTTGTACCTCGCACCCTTCTATTCAACTCCCATACTCCATCGTTATCGTCTTCTCCATTGCCATCATTCCAAACACCCGTTTCCCACAAACTTCCATATTTTGGTATGGCTGCTTAAAACCAACATGCACAATAGATATGGTCCTCAATTGTTCTTGTACAGAAACCAGAATTAATGGCTAGAAGCACTCGTGTCTTCAAGATGCCACATAGAGCTAACACAAGTAGAGTGAAAGATACAACTAGGATTTCTTAACCTCTAAGGTTACAATCCTGTAGAAAAAAATTATTTAACCTGTTATGAAATTCAATAATGACTAAACTCTGATAATCTTCTTTGAAAATAAAGAAAAATCCGGAACAACAACTTTTGAGCCTAACTTAATATGATTGTTGTTCATATTCATGCAAGTCAGTGATGTAAAGACAATAGATAAAAAAATTTCAAGCCCAGCAACGCTTGAATGTAAGGCTGTTACCAGATCCTTTATAGTTAAATATTTATTATTTTCTTGTTGACTTGTTCATACATTCATTTTCCTTGAATGTGAAGGCTGTTACCCGATTCTCTTTTGTGTCTTTGATGCACAACAAAGCTGGGGACACCAAACTACTCTGGACAAAAGCATTTGGTCTGGCTTCTATCTGGTGAAATTGTCTGCGCAGAAACAAAAGGTCCTGCTTATAAGAATTTCCTGCTATGCATTTCTGATTTCTTTCAGCAATAAAAAAGGAGATAAATTTTAAGCTCAAAGATTTATGTCCTCTTGTTCTTCTGGTTCTCCTTTTTCTTCAATGTTATCCTTTTCTTCTCCTCCTGCATCCATCAATGCAAATGATACGATTTGATACAGAGATGACGCACTGCGTAACCCTCTACAGTTGAAATATACCATCAGTATTAATTCTGTCTTTTTAAGAGGCACTATTCAAGGGAAACGGTTGTTACGGGGAATACTTAGAATTAGATACTTGTTAGATGATATATATATATATATATATATATATATACATATATATATATAGACACACACACACACTAAACTGATGCACATAAAAATCTCTGCACGTAAGATCACTATATAAAGAACACAATCCACTTTGCATTACAATAGCTACCCAACATTTTTTTTTCCATGTTAAAAATCAATTTTTTGATAAATAGATATTCAACCCGGTTTGTTTGCAAACACCTGCATCTTAATGGTAAAAAAAATAAAAATAAAGCTAGGAAATCAAACTACTTAGATGTATAAATGAAGTTATGAATTGGAATGTATAATTCAGCCATGTATTACTCCAAAAATTAATGCGCAACTCTCATAATTTAGAAATTTAATTATCAATGTTAGCTATGTATTAGAAGTTCACTGGAGGTTAAACATAGTCAAAATCATTCACATATCAATACATTTAGCTATGTATTAGAAGTTCACTGAAAAAACATAGTCAAAATCATTCACATATCAATACATTTCACAAGAAAATTTTGAAATAGGAACTACAGATTGAATGACGAACAACCTTGGATGACGTTCCAAATGTCTGTTACAACATCAGAATGTTAGGAGGATAAGAACTAAGCCTGCTAAATTTCTTGATCTACAACAACACATAACATACAATGCCAACTAAGGAAACAACACAAGAGTGCCGGCCATCGTTATCACCTAATTTTAATACACTCGATACACAAGAACTCCTAGCAACAAGGTCACCAAGGAATGGCCAAAACCAACCTTGGAAACCAAATTAATAGCCCCAGCAAAGTCCCCTCCCGGGGTGCTTGTGGTTAAGACCACCACCATCCAATCATCCTCGTGACCTAGTCCTGCCCCAGTGAACCTTGAATCATTGATTTATTTTGAATACGTGGTTCGTGTATAATTTGTTAGCAATAAAGTTGGGACCAAATGGGGTCCGCAAGCAGGCAATACAACACCTTCAGTAGTGTGATTAACATCAATGCCACACTCTGATAGTATGTCAGGGTAGCTTTCTATTTGGACAGGGCTTGCTGCTCTTGCTGCAGTACAAGGTTGGTCCTCTAGCTTGTCAGCAATTTTATCAGCAAGGCAAGCTGGCAAGGTTAAAGAGAGCCTGTAGCTGTTCAGACCTTGAAGAAGATCGTCTTCCTCATCTGCAAATTATGCAAGAAATTTTAGAATTTGTGAACGCACATTGTTAATCTTAGATACTTGTGCCATAAAAAATACTAGATTCCTCGCCAGGTAAATTTGCTGCTCTTCCTTTTTTAACATGTTTTTTCTTGAGTCTTTGTTCTAACCAACTCCCAAGCTATCTTTGTTTTTGTCATAAGAACTTGAAATTCAAATCACTTCATTCCCTTCACAATTGCAGCAGTTTTTAACTTCTATGTACATATATGCACATTAAAAACAAAAATTCAGTCATCATAAATACCACAGAATGATATATTTACCCTGAATGTTTGAAAAACTGCCTCTCAGAAGGCATGGACGAGAGACATAATTAACCAATCCCCCTCTCCTCCATATGCTATTCCAATTCGTTTGAACAATTATGCTTCTTTTTTTGATAATTATGCTTTAGAGTTCAAATTTGATTATGCAGCATACAGAAAAGAATTACAATGCTTTAAGGCTGAGACACTTTTTCAAACAAATAACTAAATAGAAAGCCATAAACAGAGAGAGAGATGAGAGAGAGTACCACAGTGCACTGGAGAAGAAAGCAAGAAAATAGCTTGAAGAAGCACAAAAGCGAAAAGGCCACTTCTAGGAGAATCCATAATTATTAAATGCTAAAAACTACTATAGCAATAACTTGGTACAGCATGTATAGGACACCAAGACACCTTGTGGGAAGATTTTAGTAGAAAAGAAGAGAGTGCTTGTCATGCTGATGAATACTTTCTCTTGATACCTTGGTATATATGGTCAGTTTTCATGGATTTGGCCTTGAATGTAGAGGGTGCTTCCAAGTGTCCTGTTAGGTGTTGGTTAATTGGTTGATTTGTGTGTGCCAAATTGACAGGTATTGTCTAATTGGATTTGCACGTGGCAGTCATGCAAGTTCTTCTTGTCGAGTTGTCTTTAATTCGGGACTGAAAGAAAGCATTTGTACTGGTGTTTTTCTTAATATTTTCGGTTATCCAGAAGGTATAATTACTAATTAGATGTAAGGAAAAGGTTCTTTTCGAATAATTAAAAACAAGTGGCAGAATGTTTTTCGGCAGCAATATCTGAACTCTAAATCTTGGACTGGGAAGCTGCTGTCATAACTGCATAGTAAAGTTTTAAGCTTTTCTATGCATGCATCTGTTTTTTTTTTTTTTTTTTTTCAATCAGTTTGTATTGTTTAAGTATAATTTTATGTTTGAATCATATCTGCATGTCTGAATTTTTCTTCTGTTCAATATAATTAATTAAATTTTATGTGTCTGAATCAGAACAAATGGAGTGCATCACTTCTGAATGATAGAGCATGATTTCAGTGACATGATTCTATTGATGAAAACCATATCTAATATGATCATATCAGATAATAATTTTCAACAAAGTCTTAAAGATGAGTACGATTAAATCTGCCATAATCACAACATTATTAGCATATTCACACGCATAATCATCATTCCAGCTTGATTATTGTCCTAATACACACACACATGACTATGATGTTTATGATGTTGACAAAAATACCCAGCCTTGTTTAGCAGTCTAGTCAGAAAAATTCACAGCTTGTACTAGTACATCTATGGCATGCTTACTAGAAACTATAATCCTGACCAGATGACTCCAGTTTTAAGCCATGGATAGTCCCCAAGATTAGGCTAGAAAGTAGAAACTAGGAACTCCTCCGTATCCCCATGTCAACAGAACTGACGTGTCCCCTGGACCTGCCTCAGAAGACACGTTGAGTCCCATTTCCAGCCACGTATATCTCTACGTGTCATCACAAGAACACAGTTTATACGCACAAATTTCAGCAATTTGTAACACCTCAGTAGGGTCACGTCCATTGTAGCTTACTATAAACATGCTGTCTTGGTTGTTTCCAACACCGAAGGTTTTCTCTGGAGTTTCTTGGTTTTATAGTCCAATCAAAACCCAGTTGAGTCGTTATCGGATAAGTCAGTTTCCGGCTATATCTCAGGCGATTCATAGACCTAATAGAGTGTTTGTGGGAATGGCTTCAGGTGGACAAAAGTTTCCTCCTCAAAAGCAGAATAGCCAGCCTGGTAAAGAGCATGTTATGGACCCAACTCCACAGCACACCAACCCTGATTATAAGCCCTCTAATAAGCTCCAGGTGATCCAGCTAGTTTCCTGAGATATATTTACATTACGGTTTGTGATCATTTATCTGCATGTTGCTGATTTTTTGACGGATTTGCAGGGAAAGGTGGCAGTGGTGACTGGCGGAGATTCTGGGATAGGAAGAGCTGTGTGCTATAGTTTCGTGATTGAAGGGGCAACCGTGGCCTTCACATATGTAAAGGCTCAAGAGGATAAGGATGCTGATGATACTCTTCAGATGCTAAAGTAGCATAAGACTGCTGATGCTAAGGATCCTATTGCAATACCTGTGGATTTGGGGTTTGATGAGAATTGCAAGAGAGTGGTTGATGAGGTGGTGAATGCGTATGGTCGGATTGATATTTTGGTTAACAATGCAGCTGAGCTATGAGTGTAGCTCTGTGGAGGAGATTGATGAGCAGAGGCCTGAAAGGGTGTTTAGGACTAATATCTTCTCCTACTTCTTCATGACCAGGTATTGTAAGGCAATTTCTTTTTTCTTGTGTAAGTTTTTGTTCTTTTGATGGAAATATTGGCAATGGTAATTCGTAGGCATGCCTTGAAGCACATGAAAGAAGGCAGCTCCATAATCAACACAACATCAGTTAATGCATATAAGGGAAACTCCAAGTTGCTTGACTACACATCAACCAAAGGTGCAATTGTGGCTTTCATTAGAGGACTAGCACTCCAGCTAGTTAGCAGAGGCATAAGGGTCAATGGCATCGCACCTGGACCCATTTGGACTCCATTGATACCGGCATCATTCAAAGAGGAGGAGGTTGCTAATTTTGGAAAACAAGTGCCTATGCATAGAGCTGGCCAGCTAACTGAGGTTGCCCCTAGCTATGTGTTCCTCGCTTGTAACCACTGCTCTTCGTACATTACTGGCCAAGTCCTTCACCCTAATGGTAAGTTTGTTCTCCATGCTTACACAGCAGTTGCGATTGTAACTGATGGCTGGCTGGTTGTTGCAGGTGGTGTAATCGTGAATGGTTAATTATTGAGGGCTTGGCAAACTTCTGATCTTTTAGTTTTTGTGTTTAGGCTTATGGCGTTTTTTGTGTTTAGGCTTATGGCCTTTTTTGTGATGCTAGTGCATGTGTTTTGATGTCTGTTTCTTCCATGTAACACAGTATATGCCAAAGTCTCTATCATGTTGATGCATGTATGTCTATATGATGTCCAGTTGTCTTTAACACACACACACACAACGTTAAAATATCCAGTTTGTTACTTCTATGAAACCAAGCTGTATAACTTGTTGCTGTAGGGTTGTATGCATGTTGTTAGGGTTGTTGGTTGTAGCCGTGAGAGAATCTGCTTGTGTCTAGGAGTACGAAAAGGGGCTTTAATTCGTGAAAAAATCAAACAGTGGACACAGCAAATTGCCTAAATGTCTAGCAGCGGCTACAAATCAACTTGTCTAGGAGACTACGAAATTGGGCTTTAATTCGTGAAGAATTCAAACAGAGGGCAGAGTAAATCGCCTTATTTGCTAGAAGCAACTACAAATCAACTTGGCACAATGCTCGACATGATAACCAGCCAGCCAACAAGCAGGGCATAGTAATTTGCCATTGCAGCACCGGTAAAAAGTGTGCTATTTCAAGGTTGAAGATGTACAATTAAGATTAAGATTCATCTCAGGCAATTTCAACCCAATTTCACCAACTTACAGTTGAAAGGCTCTGAACTCGAAGAATTATAAAATCCATTTTCCTGGCCTTGCCTAGTTTCACTTGTCCATCAGTTAAAGGGTTTGGTAGTTCTGGTCACCATTTATCGTGTGGGGTGGATGCTTGTGGAGTGTTCACCTTGCTAACAGTCTTGAATGGGGTATTTTTCCTGGGCATGGAGAAGTGACAGAAGTCTTTACCTGCTAATGAATACATTATTTAATTTACAGACCAATGCATTCTTGTTCTTGGCATTACTAAAATATGTGGAGTGAGTGCAAATTTTAGCTTAGTCGTCGAAAAGGTTAGTTTCCAAAACACGCAAGCTTTTCTCACATTCGTCTCTCTTAAATGAATTGCTGAGGTTTCCCAAATATGGGATCGACCTGGGTAACATTTTCACTCATGCGAGAAGTGCAAACATTTTCAGGGATGTTCCTAGCTAGTTATATGATCCAGATGCTAATGGCAGTTTCCATTTGATTAGATAATTATTCCTGGAACTAAACATTTCTAATTGCTAGCCTTCATTCTCTCATAAGAGCAAGTCTAATCCTTGGCAGCCATAAATATGGATGGTGACACATCCAGGGTACTGTTAACCTAAGCAACAGTTAATGGATTCAATTTTATCAAGAGATGGCACCAAGAACAGTCTATCAAAGCACTTATGAATAACTGCCGTCACAAATCTTTTGAAAAACATAACTTGAAATTTTCGGAAAGAAATGGCTGTGCTTTCATCACAAATCAATTTGACAGGTCAACATGACATAAGTCCATAATGCTCCGTGAAGCATACAGATACCAAGTTAATATCTATGAATGAAGGATCAGATACTATTATTTTCTGAATCTTTCCCAAGAATGAGCAAATTCACTCATCAATGATGACTATTATCAAGGTTTACAGTAGCTTGGTGTAGCAAAGAAGAAAAACATTCACAAAGAAATCAATTTTTTTGCAAAGTTTCTTTATTGGCCACGAACAGTAGCAAGAATGAAGATGAATTATCCCAAAACATCAAAGAAGTTTGGACTAACTCAAACAAAGGGAAAAAGATACAACAACAAACTAATGTATAGTAGACATAGATGAAGAGTTTGAATAGCAAAACATACATTTTTAAGCTGTTATTTGACAATTGACATTAGAGATCAGATCTTACTCGAATTTATTTCCCTTCCTTTCTATAATCAGGAAGAAGCACTGAAGCAAATCTCAGCACCGTTCCCACCAATTCCAGCAATCAAACATTGGAATCCGCAAGACTCTAGCTCGGCAATTACTTTATCTACAATCGTTCCTGACAGTACTGATACATATAGTCAAGGAAACATCTAAAAATTTGAAATAAAGTGGCATGATGTCAGTTATTAGATGATATAAATTCTTTTTACTCATCTTCAGGATGGTAGGTGGGTGGTCTCTCTTTAGGACAGTGAAACTCACAGAGATGCATGACTCGGATCATTCAGCATGTCATATTTCATATCTTTAATCACAAACCTTAGAAATGGAAACGAAAGAAAATATGAAGCCATTTAATAAACATGCAGGTAACAATACTCTTTCTATTAGAAACACCAATGATAGCTCCTATTAAAATCAAACCATTGCATTCCAACTTTCAAAACGATGGCAGCAGGAAACAATACTTTCTAGTTTAACCAATGTTCCACTTCAACAACATAAATCATAACAGATAGGTATGTAATTATGAATTGTAACTTTTGGAGGGGATGCAGCATCTATCCTTTTATGTAAGAAATTACATCAAGCAGGGCAAGCAAGAAGAAACTTTTACAGATTCGTACTATAATGCAATTTTTCTTAACTAAATGTTCAAGGCATTCGTATTGAAGAACACACAAACACAAACTAGAAAAAAAAAAAAGAATTAGAGGCCCACATATGCATAGAATAAAAAATAAAAGAAGTAACTATAGAGGATACAGGTAGGCAACAGTGTCAGCACGCAGCCACCACCCCCAGCTCCAGTCAACTTAGAAGCTAACTTGTATTTCAATGTGGTTCGAAGAACAGTTTCTATAGAAGCATGGCTTACCCCCATGCATTGGAGCAAACCCTGATTCATTTCCATTAACTCTTCTAGCTTCTCTTCCTTTGCAGTTATGGACAGATCATCTGAAGCAGGTGTCTGGATGACATTAGCCAATTCCTTACTGATGGAATCAACAGCATTAAAAACAGAACTCATGGCATCAGGGTTTCTTAAGGTTCTCTCTGAAACTCCAGCAACCAATGCTTTTGTGTTCCTCCCAACTTTTGTGTTAGTAATGAGCATTTTGAGTGGCATGCTGGACTTGATGCGTGTTAGATTACCTGACCTGAACTTGATCATGTTGCCTGTTGCATGGGGAGTAGAGGTCAACACACACACACACACCCACAGAGAGAGAGATGCTACAAGTATAGATACCTCCTCTGCTAGCAAATCAGAAAAGCGAATACTTAAAAAAATCTGGACATGCCAACATGAATCTGTCAACAAATTTTACTATTCTTAATCTTATAATTTCCGCAGGAGATACACTGTATTTTATCCTAGTAATGCTTAACGGCAGAATCTAGTTAATAGTCACTACAATGCTGAAGACACAGAAGTGGAACATGTAAACATCGAAAATCTGGTGCAAGAAGATAGCTTTAGCTAGCATGAACTTTTACCTACCATATGTGCTAACAGTGTTGTCAATCCCAGATGGCTTTCCATGAATTATCTTTTCACCTTCAAAAGCCCATTTGTTCAATAATTCAAGCTCAGACTCCCCAAACACTAACCACCCTTCTTGTTTCATGTCTATGTTCACAGTGTCTGAGCATGCAAGAAGAGCTGCAGAGAATGCAACACAGAGTGCAGCAGATGAACCTAGGCCGGAACCCAGTGGAAGGTCAGAAGTGACAACTACAGTAGCGGGTTTAAATCTGATGCATGGAGAAGACCAACTTAGAAATGAAAATAGCATAAGAAAAGTAGTCAACATTGAAAAGGATGTACAAAATACCCTAGGATTGATGTGTATAGCCACAGAAATGCAGACACTCCAGAAGCAAGAGATATTTTTGCCTCCAGAATAGTTTTCTCTTCTATCAAAGCTAAAATTAACTTGAATGATTCTGCTGAGCAGGACGTGGGAGTTGATGGGAAAGGACCTCCTAAGCTAGATAGTGCTTCTTTGATTCTTCCAATTGGCCATGAAAATTCTAAAGCCATATCCTTGAGCTGGAGTGTCAGTCTATCATCATTCTCTGTGGGGAGAAGAATAACAGTAAAAATCCATTTGAGAGAAGTTGTATCATCACAGTTTCAAAGAAGGGTGGAACGAAAAATAAGCAGTTATATGTCAATAAATGAAATTCACAATATTAAAAGTGATCAATGTTTCCATGTTCCTCAGTGAATAGATAAGAAATCAGGTGGAATTGCACATATCAAATCCTTAGTAACGTGTGGTATCCAAATCTGATAGAATATTTCCTGATCATGAGATAATGTTTTTTTTTTTTTTAGAAATGAGGTTTGGGAAACCTTAATTGTGCTTAACAGTCATTAGAATCTTGGCAAGAGTGGAACTTGATCATTCCTAATTTAATATTACAAAATGTCACCAGTATTCCTCGTACTGAAAACCAATTCTAAGTTTGATGCACTTTAAAGAACATCAATTACTCACAAACCACATAGAAAATAAACTGTATTACGCCTTGCAATTCGGGTAGCCATTCTGATTTGTGATAGCTGCTTTATCCTAATGGATCCTAAAAGCTTAGTTGTGTGGAGCTTGTGGGGGCAGAAATAGTTTTGAAAAGCTCCTTACTGGACAGATGGGAAAGGAAGCTAAAGTTGTAAAAATTACCATTGACAGATCATGTACACATTCGAATCAAAATCTTGCAGAAACAACATGCACCATCACTCAAATGTCAAAAGATCCTTACAGGAGAAAAAACCTCAAAAAGGTCTCTTCCAAACAGTAGTTCAATACCATCCCAACAGACAACAATCCAAGAAAGACCAAAGAAATTAGAATCTTGCGGAGATTGGTATGCACCTTCAATCAATCTCAAGTTGTCCAGGCAACTAAGACTATAAACTTCCAAAGGGCACCCTCAAATCAACATTTCAAACAGTACCAATACAAAGTCAATCCCAGAAACACCAATGGAAAGCCAAAGCTACAATACACGTCTTCATATCATCTCAAAAGGGTATTTCTCAATCAACATTTCAAACAATTCCTTTACAAAAACAAGCCCAAAGAGACAACCTTTATGCATATTCATCTCAACAAAACATCAAAGTCTACATCTTTCAATCAATAAACAAACAAAAATAAATAAAAATATGGAGTAATCACTGATTTAATGAGTTAAAGCTCTATTTTTTTTTTACCATTAGAAGGGGGAACTTGAAGGGAAACATAGGTGCACAGACCAATGGATGCAGCAACAGCAGTGGATCCATGAACAACTGCATGTTCACCAGAAAGAATGATTTTCCCTGGAGCTCTTGCTTTCACTTCCATTTTGTCTTCTTTTCTTTTCTTTGTTTGTTCAAGAATCTTGGGCTGCCATTAGCTAATTGTTATTGTTACCGTAACGCTAAGCATCAAATGTGGAGATTTATAAAGACCCATAAGTTGATTGGATTGACAAATTGAGGGGGTCAATAAGAGGCATCAGCCGGGGTTTTTTTTTTTTTTTTTTTCAGACAAATAAACAAAGGTAACATCAAATTCTTGTTTTTGTTGTATCCAATTTCTATTAAATAAGCATTAGGTGCGGAATGGACCTGAATTTTGGCCTAACATATATTTCTTAAATCTATCCAAAACTTGATATTATTGCTTAAAAAACAATTTTTGATATGTGTTTTGTAATACAGTAGTTTTATAAAAATATTTTTTATTTAAAAATAAATTAAAATAATATTTTTAATTTTTAACATCAATATATTAAAAATATTTTAAAAGTTAATTTAATATGTTTTAGTAAAACAAGGATAAGGGAATTCAACTACAGTACTAAACAAAATGCCATCATTTTTTTTTCTAAAAAATTATTTTTACTGTGTTAATTTTTATGATTTAAAAAAAATATAAAGATTCGTCATATTTTAACATTATTGTATTTGGATGTAATTGGGGTGGTTGTATTTTGTCTTATATACTTATGATTATTTTTTCTCGGTCTCATTTTTATATATAAAAAAATTTATTATTATATAAAATTAATAAAAATTCTCTCACCAATCATGATTTTTTCATATAAAAAGTATTTTTATCAAAAGGTTAGAATGTTTAAGTTGGTGGTGAATTGACTTCTAATGTCAAAACTATTAAAGATTTTTTTTATAAAAAAAATTATACATAGATCTAATTTATTGGACCGAGACCACCACTTTGTCTTAATTTACTATATGAATTCGTTATTAAATTATTTTTATTTATATAAAATTTATATTTTTTAAAATAATATTAAAAAATTACATTGTAAAAATCTTTAAATTGATTGATGAATGAGTTTATTTTTCAAGTTATCATTTAAGATTTTAATATATTTAATAGTTTGAAAATTACATTTATTGTTGAAACTTAAAAAATCAGGAAGAAATTATAGTTTCATTGTGATGATATTTAGAATATGCCATTTAGTTCAATTGACCTCACGTTTAAAATAAAACAAAAATAAATAAGGAAATTGTTATATTATGATAGTGTTTATCATAATCCCACAAAAAGAATTTGAATTTTATCTCAGGATGAAGATTTTATAGTGAATTATTATTATTATTATTATTATTATTATTATTATTATTATTATTATGATAAAGGTTGTCCAACGCCGTTGTGTGTACTTTGTCGACAAGGTCAAAAAAGTCAGCACAAGAAGCAAGCTTCTCAACTCTGAATATTTTTCTTGGATAAACTATATTTTCGTCCTTGGATATTCATCTATAATCCTAAAAGGTCTCAATCTTACCTTTAACATGAAATAACTCACAAAACAACAATAATTTTAAAACATGACGTGAAGATTCCCTTATGGCATGACTCGTGTTATGGATTGAGATAATATTATGGATTAATCCCATGTATATTTATTTTTAAATGATTAAAATAATATTATTTTAAATAATTTTTTTTAAAAAAATTCATTAGATTCTACTTAAATTGGGAATTAACTTAGATTTTTTATAAAATTAGTTTAGATTAATTCTTTTTTTATTTTTTCTTTAACTCGGATCAATTTAAATCTCAAATGATCTTGAGTAAACTTACTCAATTAGTATGAATTTTGAGATGTTTAGAAGAACTTATACTTTTATTTATGCTTTCAAAAACATAATTTTTAAAAGTGTTTTTGACTTAAAAAGACATTAAATTAATTTTTAAAATTTTGTATGGTTTTAATGTATTAATATTAAAAATAAAAAAAATTAATTTTATGTCTTCTTTAAATAAAAAACTATTTTAAAAAATATTGTGAACTACACTCTCATATATTTCTTGTACCTATATCATCCTTGTATCATAATACCTCACAAAAACACTTAAATTATTAAAATAAAAAAGAATACTCAAAAAACCGAAATAAAACACGTAAGATATTTAATAGGCAGGAGTAATGCATAGAAGGGTGGTATTGGGAAAATCGAAACTGTAGGAGTATAATTGGAATATCGATGAATCCATATGGGCAAGAATGAAGTTTACCCTTTTCTTTTTTAATTCATACTGCATTCTTGCTGAATTGAATGTGACTGGCTTACCGTTGACTTTGTTTCCTTTTCAAGCTGTCTTAAAATGACGTTTGACCAAGATTGTGGACCCCATATTGACGGGAAAATAAATGTGATACATGCAGGCTAGTTTGGCCCTAGTTGATTGTGAGCCCCAAGATTGAGTCTATTTTTTTTTTAAATTAATATAGATATTAAAATTAGTTTATATGTAATATGATTAATTTTTAGACTTTGAAGTTAATAATTATGTAAGTTTTTAATGCTTATTATATCAACAATCAAGAATTTAAATCTAAAATTATATAAAAAAACCTTTTAATTCTAAATTTTTATTATTTGTCACCATCTAGATAGTTTTTATTGAGCATATTTAATTTAAAGAGTGAGCGTTGTAGTTTAAAAAAATAAAATTTAAAAAAATATTTTTAATTTTTTTTTTAAATATATATTTAATTAAAATTATTATGATATAAATTTTTTTAAGTAAAATAAACAAAAATTAACCTCTAAAATTTAAAAAATATATTATTTTAACTTGTATAAAATGAAAATTTCAAACATTACAATAACAATTATAAGTGCATAGCAAGTACAAAATACATAAATCATTTAATTAATTAATTTTTTTTTTCAAGAATGATAAAAAGAAGTAGCAGTGTTTGATATCATATCTCAGAAATGTTTTAAAATTTTTTAAATATTTTTTATTTTTATTTTTTAAATAAATATATTTTAAATATTTTTAAATCATTTTAATACACTAATATTAAAAATAATTTTTTAAAAATTAAAAAATATTATTTTAATTTATTTTAAATTAAAAAAACTTTAAAAATAAATCATTACCACACATTTTTTAAGACTCTTTAAATATATTTGACAAGAAACACTATTTTACTAATTTTTTAAAAAAAATATTTTAAATTAATTTTTTTACGGCAGAGGCCTGGCTGTAACTGTTGAGCCAGAGTCTAACGTATGAAATTATTCAATGTTTATTTCGCTGAATCGTTTCAAATTAATAGGATATTTTGTCCTTTTACCTCTTTATATTTTCAAAATCAGCCAGGTTAATATCAAGAAAAAAAATAATTAACAAGATAGATCAATAACTCATATTTTTTTTTCCGAATCAATAGCCAATTTGAGCATGACATTAAACTTCCATAAATTAATACCATTGAAACCAAGAAAACTTATTAATTAATTCAGATATTATTTAATTAATAACTTAATACTTTATTAATTTATAATTAATTATTGAGAACATCAAGGTAAATGATAAAGAAAATGAAGTTCAAGTCTTGTACCAGAGCCTCTCTCGTTCAAAGATGCACTTAAAGGAACTATCACATTGCATAATTTCCTCTTATAACACGAGAACACTACACCAAGATTTATTAATACACTAAGAAAAGTTTGAGAGAAGGTTCAAAGAGATATTAATTTCTAAGTAAACAAGTAATAATTTTAAAGAAAAAGAAAGTAGCAAGGGAGTCATATTTTACAAAGGTTTCCTCATTGATTTATGTATAAATATAATTTTGATTTATAAAAAAATTATTAATTTATATATAAACAGTATCCATGTGTTTGTTTATCAGTGTATTATCTTATGAATTTAATGAAATATTAATTTAAGGTCAATCTTGGAGAAAAAAGAGATAGGGAGGGAGGGACCAAAAATGATCAAGATAGAGAGGTTAGCAGCCTTACGTCATGGAAACTAATAAATAATTTATCTTCAGAAGAATTTATCTCTTCTAAATGATAAATTAATTCCCATATTCAATAACCTTCTGCTCTTAATATTCGATTTGGTATACTTAGAGTCATTCGTGCTTCCCTAAAAGATGAAGATTCAAAAGCTGAGAAAGAAGGAACTGTGAGGGCGTGAAGGGCTTCGGAGAATCACTCAACCTTGGGACAATACGGAGTCAGCCCTGCTAAGAAAGCTGGTGTGAAGATATGTTTCATCACCAGCTAGAGCACACACCGCTTTTGTAAAACCTGTTTTTAGTTTTTTATTTTGTTCATTTGTTTCTGGTGTTAACAACTCTGGCGTGTACAAGTTATGAAATATCTGAATGTGCATGTATTATTACCTATCTGCTTGGGAGTTGCAGCTCACTACCGTGTTTTTTTCATTAGAACAGGACAAAGAAAAGTAACAAAAAATAGAATAGAATAGAACAGAACAGAAATATATTTTTTGCTTCTTATACTAAATACAGAAGGTGTTTCTCTGCAGCGAGGACTTTTTTAGTCATTGCACCAATTTTTGTTCCAAATTTAACACATTTTGATCGTTAGGTTAAGCTTACATTCTTAGATTCTCAGTCAGCAAGTTATTTTTCAGTGATCTCAACCTGTTCTTTGAGGGTACCATAAAGACTCTCGACAACATTGAGCAGGAAAGCGTCTGAACCATGTTTTGCCAACAATGAAACAGCTACAGGAAGATTGTCATGCATCCCTAGCGGTATGCTAACCTGTATATTGGTATGAAACCCACATAAGGAAATAATCCGAAGTTCTAAAGAGAACAATAACAGGTAAAATTTCAGTAGTATATAGGACCTGGCAGAATCCTGATACTCCCGCAATGGACAACAAGCTAAAAGCTTTAGCACGGAAGATTTCCAGTGTTGTTGGATCTGTTTGCAGTTTCGGTGGAAGCCCTGGAACAGTAGGGATAGCCAGGATACCAAAATCCTGCAAGTGCAAGGAACTCATAACTGAACAGGAGCATAATTTGTAGCCTAATAAAATGTAGACTATAATAGATTCTAAGTATATGATTTCTTCCTTGGCTAAATAAATCCATGTTTTGTAGTCACTTGAGAGAGGTACCTGAAGAAGAGTTGCAAGGGCAGCGTGTAATTCAGTCTTTACAGAGTGGCAGGCATCAACGTTATCCCCAGTTGTTCTAACAGCTTCCCATACCCTTTCTGATATTCCTGGACCCAATTCAGGTTTGACTGAAGTGATCCATT